TATGTAAGAAGAAGCAAGAGTAAATTTCTTATACTATGTCTCTATGTAGATGATTTGTTGATAATAGGTAGCTGCAAGAGTGAGATCGAAGACTTCAAAGTTGACCTTAGCAAGGAATTCGAAATGTCTGATTTGGATGAGATTTCATATTTCCTTGGTATCGAATTCTACAAGAGCAGTAGAGGTTTGATGATGCATCAAAGAAAATATGCAGGAGAAATTCTCAAAAGGTTTGAGATGGAAGAATGCAACGCAACTTTGACACCTGCAGAACCAAGACTGCAACTGTCAAAAGATGCTAATGAAGATGATGTTGATCCAACCCAATACAGAAGACTTATTGGATCATTGAGATACCTTTGTCATACAAGGCCTGACTTAGCATACAATGTAGGTATGGTAAGTAGATTCATACAAAAGCCAAAGGTATCACATCTAGCAGCAGTGAAGAGGATACTAAGGTATCTCAAAGGAACTTTCGATTATGGCATTTTGTTTCCAGCAGTTGATAAAGGAAAAGAATGCAAGTTAGTGGGATACACTGATTCGAGTTGGTGTAGTGATGCTGAAGATCGAAAGTCAACAGCAGGATATGTATTTATGCTAGGTGGTGCAACAATTGCTTGGAGTTCGAGAAAAGAACCAGTAGTAGCATTATCATCATGCGAAGCAGAATACATAGTTGCTTCTCTTTGTGCATGTCAAGCAACCTGGATGGTGAACTTGGTCGAAGAAATAACAGGGAAAAATCATGGAGCAATTACCATGAAGATAGACAGTATGTCAGCTATCAATCTGGCGAAGAACCCAATAGCACATGGTCGAAGTAAGCACATCGAAATGAGGTTCCATTATCTTCGAGAGCAGGTAGCAGATGGGAAGATGAATTTGGAACACTGCAGAACTGAGAATCAGATTGCAGACATCATGACAAAGGGAGTGCAGGTCGAAGTATTCAGAAAACTAAGGGCCATGATGAACATAGACAGTTTAGACACAATGAATTAGATGGTGTGTTAAATTGTAATTCATATGTGTCAGAAGATTTGATTTGTTTAGATTTAAATAGATTTGAATTTAAGTCTAGATTAGATTTGATTTAGTAAAGAGATATTTTGGGCTTGGGTTTAGCTTAGGGAGCAAGCTAACCTAAATCTATAAATAGAGGGAGTAACCCCTATTTTGTAACCAACTCATTCACAGTATTTTGCAGTTGCAAAGTGAATTAATAAAAGTTTCCACAATTTGTGGGCAGAGACAAACTCTGCAGAAATAATTCTATTGTCTTTTCTTAGTTTGTTTCATAACTAATCATCAGTGGTGGTCGAAATTCATCATAGAGTATTGGTGGATTTCCAACATTTCCAACTAATGATTGAAGTGTCCAAGTAAAACAGAAGCCTGTCTTTTGATTTGTTGGCAAAACCCCCAGTTTGAATCAGTGAAAACACGATGTCGCCTAACAATACCGAGCCCTGCACGTGTGTTGTGGTTTGTTTGGAGAAGCCTATCTTTTTCAATAAAATCTCTCATAATATTTTAATTTCCAACTTATATATTTTTTGTTCCATTTATAATTTTCATCTATAATTTCCAATTGATATTTAACGGGATGCTGTCATAAATTTTAGGTTTGAAAAAATGGACTAATATCTAAAAAGAAATGTTATTTAAATTGGAAAAATGATTTTATTCAAATATGTAATTTTAAAATTAACTCATCTGAATTCAACTGAAATTTGTTAACTCATCTGAAATTACGGGTAGATGTGAACGTATCAATGAGATACCAGCTATAGATTGGTCATTCTAATGTTCGTCTTTTAACTATTTCTTTTGTTGCTGTTATATATATTGAATTTATAAAAATGATTGTACGATTTATTATAAATACGAATAAATGCTTAAAAGTTGATCATGAAAAATATGTAATGTGAATTTCGGTTCAAAATACTATTTGGTTCAAAATAAATTGATTTTTGATTGGATTGTATTAGCTTATCTTTGATATATATATAAAGAAACTTTATAAATCAAAATTAGATATATGTGATGTGAATTTAGACGAACCTGTGCGATAACCCGGGTTTCTTACTATTGTAAATTACTGAAGAAACCACTTTGTAAATTTTAGTCGGATTTCATTTTTCTAAATTTTTATACCATTTATTAATTTTATTTTCAAAATTTTCACACCTTTTATTTTATTAAAAAGTTAAAATTGAAATTAAAATTAAAAACTAATTAAAAAACACCATAAAAATAATTAATGAAATAAAAAAATGATTAAAATTTTTAATATAATTTTATAAATATCAAACAATTATGAAATCTATAAAAATATATATTAAATTAGTTAGACTAAGAAAAATAGATGATGTATTAATAGTGTAAATTTTTTTTACGATTATGTATTTTATCTAATTATATTGAAAATTTTAAAATATTTGTATGGCATGAAAAAATGATATATTTTTATTGAATGATAGTATAAATTTTTTTTATACTAACAATCCATTTTCATTAAACTCATGAGACGAATATGTACTAAAATTATCTTTACAAAAATAAACTTGAAAGGTAAACTAAAATATATAAAAAGAATTGTAAAATTTTAAACAAAAACTATTATTATTTTTAGAAAACATTTAAATCTAAATTTTTTTTCAAAAAACTTTTATTTTAAAAGAAAAATATTTTTTATTATTTTTTATTTAAAATAATATTTAAAAATTACTAAATTTTTTTTGCAGCAAATCCGCAGAAGCTGCAAAATTACCTTTGAGATTTTGTAACACAGTTTGGTTTTTTATTACGAAATATGATATTTGCAAAACGTTGTTTCACATAAAAATTTATTTTATTTAATAGTGTCGTTGAAAAATCGCAAGTACACCTGCAAATTTATTTTCGTAGGTAAACCAGGTTTCATCAAGCAAGAAAAATTGGTCACACTTGTAGAGTTATTGACAAACATTTTTCTATCAAAGTATGAGAACTCCACTTTGGAAATTCGAGTAGCATAAATGTTATTACTAACGCTGCGTGGACCCAGTTCGATTAGACACCATTTTAATTTTAAAAATAAATTTGATATTAAAAAAAATATAATTATAATAATTAAAAATAACACATAAAAATATAATTATATATTAATAAAAAATATTTAATTATAATTATTTTAACTTTAATCAATTTTAATTTTTAAATGTATTGAATTTTTTATCATATTATTTTATAATTTATTGAATTTTTATAATATTTTTTTTATGTTTTATTAATTTTTATATAAAAAAAATTGGGGCCCTGGGGCCTTGTGCCGTGGAGCCTATTGCTCCTGCATAGGGTCGAGTCGGGAAAAACATTCGTGAAATTTTTTTTTCGAGTTTGTCTAGAGCAGGCGGCGAAAGTGAGACGATATTCACTGGAACTGATATTAATTGATATCATTGTTTGGATATTAGGGTGAGGCACCCTTAATATCACTACTCTACACCAGATCTAACCTGTGATTTAGAAAAAGACAACTCATAATGATGAAAAAGTCTCAAATGTAGTAAATGATAGTTAGAGGAGAGAGTGAATTGATTGATAATGAAATGTCTTTTCATTCATACATCTGTTGTGTTTAAGGGTGGATAAATTTCATCCGCTCGATTGAAATCAACCGATCTATTATTTATTTTATGCAATTGAATTGGAACAGGCCGAATGTTATGTTGATTTAGTTGTTTAATTTGGATATTATATAATTATTTTGGTCAAGTTCGAATTTATTATTTTAGACCCGTAATAACCGAATCTAACCAAACTCAATTAATATTTATTTATTTTATTTATATTATTATATGACTAATCCATTATAAAATACAGTTTATAATATTGTCTGGTTAATATCATTTTTATAGTTTAAATACATTGTCTTATCACAATAATAATAACATGTACATGGAAATTTGAGTGTTATTTAGTTTCTAATTTTTTTTTATAAAGACAAAATTAATTCATTTTATTAACAATTAACAATTTAATATAAAGAGGAAGATAAACGAAATTAAGTTTAAATTGAAATTTGACCGCATGCATTAACGAATAAGCAACCGTATTTACTTGACGTTTAATAATTTTTGTAAGAAAATTTTATGGGTCCCGAATATGTGAATTTTATATAAAAAAATATCATTTTTATGGGTTTAGTTTAATAAATATTAAGCCATCAAATCCACCTAATATAATTGTTAAATCAGTTTAACAAAATTCGACAAAAATCAAAATTTTATCAACTAAAAAATTGAGTCCTTAAAATGAAATTATGTTTTACGTCAGATTTAAGTTTTGAGTTTGATACTGATTCAAACCAACCAATTATTCCGCCATTGTTTTTATATAGGACGAAGTTAGTTAGATCTCAACCAACCATTGGTAAAAGAGAACACTTCATCATTTAAGAAAGATGAATAAGATAAATTAGGAAAAACAACAAAATAGATAAAACATAAATTTATTTGTGATATTCATGAATTCTTATGACAAGGATAAATGAAATAAAGTCAATAAACCAATCGAAAAAAGTTTCCATCTTCAAATTCATTCTTGCAAAAAAGTGCTTATATCATCAGAAAGCAAAACACGTTTACGCAGTTCAGCAGATACACCGTTAATCAGATTTCGAATCTTCTCAATATCGTAGCAGACAAACTCGAGGTATCTCCCCATTGATAAACCCTAATATATTATCTTGTAATTCAAACACACACCCCATTCATTGCTCCCTCATTCATTTTCAAACACACCCCACATGTTTGATAAAATGCCTGCTACATGTATTCAAACTTCTGATTTTCAAACACCCCACATGTTTGATAAAATGCCTGCTACATGTATTCAAACTTCTGATTTTCAAACACCCCACATGTTTGATAAAATGCCAATTACAGTCTTGGTGAGTGAAACTTATGAAGCTTGTCTTTTACTATTTTATGTGACAGGTAATTGTGGTAATGGTGGGGTGTTTCCCTTCAACACCCAAGAAACTGGCAATGACCATTGCATGTTCCCTCTCTGGAGCTGCCGTTTTAGCTCTTGGGATGCACCTTTCTTATGCCAATGTTGAACCCCAACGTGCCCGAACTATGGCTCGGGATAAATTCGTCTTAGATACCTTGAGAAAGAAGTATGGTTACATTCCTCCATCAGAGGCCCGAAGTATGGCTCGCACTGATTCCCCAAAAGAAAATAGCTGAATCAGACTTTGGGATTAAAAGTTAGATATGGGGGTGCTGTTGATTGCTAAAAGCTTTGGTTTTTCATTCTTGCTCCTTTGTACTCCTTTGACTTATTTATGTTCACAACCATAATTTAAATGTTCATAGTAGTGGTACCTTCATGCCAGCTTTTGCAATTGGCATAGTTGCACTCTTATCAAATGTGTGTTAGGGTTACAGTCTGTTTTAAAGATTTTTTAGTTGATAATGAAACAGGTGCAATGGTATTAGAGGCATCAAATCAATATTGTTTAATTGAACTTTTCTAATGAAATATATCTCATTAATTGACTAAAGTCTCTATTACATTTCTGTTGAACTTATTAAGGCCTTTCTGTGTTAGTTTTTGTATTTGAAAGGAGAAAACGTGTGTTCTTCTCTAACACAACTTTCTGATCAAAGGATTCACTTAACTCCATAGGGTTTTAAAAAACGGTCGCGGTCGCGTAAAGGTTTTTGCAACTTCGGTCGGTACAAGTGTCGCGACACTGATTGCGGTCGTCGTGGTTTGAATTAACCACAATTCATTCTTTAGTATAAAAACAGTGATAACGGTATCAGTATCGACATCTTTCAATATTGTTTTGTAGCGGCCGTTTTCGCGACCGCAGACCGTTTTTTAAAACCCTGAACTCATGCATAGTATCACCGCTATCAGATTTTAAAGAAATAGCATGGTATCTTCTTTGGAATAATACTACATATGAGAGACTCCATTCTTTGGTACTTTGCTGGTCAACTTGCTGCTTTACCTGCTTCCAGATTTCATGGTGATTAAAATGCTTTACTGAATATTGGCAGGTTATCTCTTCTTCTTAAACTACTATTTACAACCTTAATGTTAGAAAGCTGAGTGGAAAATTTTGTGGGTGTTACAGCAAGTTGTATTGGTTGGTGACATTAACCACTATTGCATAATTCATTTCACTGACTAACTCACAAAATCAGAAGGTTCTTGTCTTGCACAGAAATTGCTGTTTTTTTGTTTTGTTTTATCTGCTGACAATCAATATGATATGACTAACTAGTGCAAAGACCAAAAATGATTAATGGTGTATTCTTCTAAAGCTTTTCCAACATAGAGAATTCCACTAAAGCAAACATTCAGTCTTCTAGTTTATTATGTGATTATTTGAAGTTAAAGCTTCAGCTCTGCAATTTTATATGTCTAAATATTTCAGCTGATTTGTGGTTTCTCTCTAACATTGAGTTTAGTTGCTAAATCAATTTGAAGTTGACCACTTCTTATGTTAAATTATTAATATTTAGGTCTGTTTAAGTGGATGAAACTTTTATTTATTTTATCAAGTAATCAAAAAATTATTCATTATTTTGATTGTTATGTCCTGCAAGTTAACTTCTTATTGTATCTATTTATAATTGGATACATACTCCATTCTACATTTATATAAAGATCTATGTAGCAGCGACACCTATGGAATGAAGATGTGTCAGTGTTTATATTCAAAACCTACATTGACAGTTGTGATTATGTTTAATTTATTTATTTTTTAAAATTATTACTGTTGTCGATGGTCAATCTCGATGTCGTGTTTCCGGTGTCCGTACTTCATAGATAGAGATGCTCATTTTCTATCACTGTCCGAATATGTTTAGTTGCAATAGGAATAATATCTTATTCCTGCCAATTAACAAGTGTACATTGTATATTCATGAAAATCTCTATTTTCTATTTTAGGCACGTAATGCTATGCTAACTTTTAAAAGTATTTTGAGTTTAGGTCTCAAAATTCTCAACCTCTAAAGTATCTTGGTGCTTCCAAAAGCAATTCTTTTCAAATTTCATATTTTTTAAATCTGTATAGTATCTCACTACCTTCAAACCAAATTGTTTCAAATTATGTATTTGACACTGTTAATTCTTGTGCATGCATCCAACTTAAACCCTATATTTCACAACTGCCCTGCATGTATTTCGTTATGAGTTATATATTCTCTCATGAAAGATATGCCATTGCTATCCTTTTGTGTATAACTATATCTCATCTGAGTTGGATTTCAAGAAACTCACTAATAATAGAGAAAGTCTCAAGACTGAAAGAGCATATACAAATGTAAGTACCTATACTTATCCCCTAATATACATGTTTTCAAAATAGCATTCACAAAAAAACATACAAAAAAAAAAGAGGTATGTAAATTATGAATTAGTCTAATTATTAGGGGTTAATCGCACAACAATTAACTCCTTAAATTCCTTGGAAAATGGACTCTAATTCTTGTATCGTTCATGATGGATTTCATGAGATGATCCTTTAAAGCATATTAGTGAAGATGGGTAAAAGAAAAGTGGATTAGCGATTCTTCAATATTGAATCAAATCATATGTACAGATCATTCTGATTTAATGTATCCTGCTATTTTGAACGATACTTTTTATTTCTTGGCGAAAAGGCGAAGAAATAGATTTCTTATTCCATTTCCATTCCAATCGATTCAAGAACGAAAGAACGAACTAATGTCCCCTTCCGGTGTCTCCATTGAAATACCTATCAATGGTATTTTTCATGAAAATAGTATTTTTGCTTATTTCAATGATCCTCAATACATAAGACAGAGTTCAGGAATTACTAAATATACAACTATAGGAATTCATTCTATTTTTCAAAAAGAAGATTTCAGTGAGTATCAAGGAATCGAAGAAGTAAAGCCAAAATACCAAATTCAAGTAGATAAAATTTTTTTTATTCCCGAAGAAGTGCATATTTTACCCGAATCTTCTTCCCTAATGGTACGGAATAATAGTCTTGTTGGAATAGGAACACCAATCACTTTCAATATAAGAAGTCGAGTAGGCGGATTGGTCCGATTAGAAAAGAAAAAAAAAATAGTCACCCTTGAGTGGAATAGTTCGGCGCCTATCAATAGTAACCACTTCCAATGATTTAAAGGCACTTACGGAAAGCTCGCATGTTCTTTCCATGTTTGTTTTTGTTAGAAACTAAATATAGTTGAAAGTAAGAGAGAGAAGAGAGAGAATAGATCTTGATTCATAACCGAATACTCAGGTAGTTACAGAGTTATATACCACATACCCCACACCATTACAAAGATACCCTTTCTATGATACTTATGTATATACTCTAATAGCTCCCCTAGAAACTTAGGTCACCCCTGATTTATGATTGTCTTGTCAAGAACCTGTAATTTGCTCCTTAGTTGCAAGAATTTGAGAGGGGAGAGAGGCTTAGTCAGCATATCTGCATATTGATCAAATGCATGGATATGTTTCACAACTAAACTTTTGCTCAACACTTTTTCTCTTAGGAAAAAGATATCTAGCTCCATATGCTTGGTCCTAGCATGAAGAATAGGGTTGTGAGACAAAGCCACAATGCTCAGATTATCACATAGAAGAACATGAGTAGTGAAGGGCATCTTTAACTCAGTAAGAAGTGACTGGATCCACATGACTTCTGAAGCAGAATTAGCAACGTTTCTGTATTCAGTCTTTGTGATGGACCTGACCACCAAGGTTTGCTTCTTAGACCACCAAGAAACAAAGGTCCAAGAAAAATGTAGGAGTCAGATGTAGATTTCTTGTCATCAGGATCTGCACCCCCAATCAACATCAGAAAATGTTGTAATAGAGAGTGGAACATTAGTGTTAGCCGCTTGAAGATGTAAACCATGGTAAAGTGGCCCTTTAAGATACCTAAGGATCCTTTTTACAACAGCCCAGTGACTTTCCAGGGGATTAGACAGAAACTGGCAGGCTTTGTTAACAGCATAGCTGATCTCAGGTCTAGTGATGGTGGCATACTGCAGTGCCCTAACAATATACCTATAAAAAGTAGGATCCTGCAGTACATCTGTGCCATATTTTGTGAGCTTGAGGCTTGAGATCATAGGAGTAGGGACTCCATTAGCTTCACTGAGATTGGTTTTAGCAAGCAAATCTTTTAAGTATTTTGTTTGGGAGGGAAAAAGAAATCCATCCTTAAAATGGGAGACTTCAATGCCCAGAAAATATTCCAGTGCACCTAGCTGTTTGAGGGCAAATTGAGTGCAGTTTAGTGACCAGGTCTTGAATGTGCAAGTCAGAATTTCCAGTGACAATAATGTCATCCACATATACTAACATAATAATAGTATATGAGAAATCGACTAAGGTAAAAAGAGAATGGTCACATCTGCTAAAAGAGAAGCCAAACCCTTTTAGAATGATCCATTTTTTACCATGGTTTTACTACTAAGTAGCCTAAACAAAAACACTACAATTTATCACGTAGCTATAACAAAAGAACAACTAATTACCTGTAGAGAAGTCAGCAACTTCTGGAACCACACAGTGTAAGATTGTGAAAGTGGCTATGAAATCGGGCAACAACTACACATAAACAATTAGGTTCATTAATTCAATTTCAAACATGTTTAAAACAAAACGGGTTTTGAGTGTATCTTGTAATATATTCATGAACCTCACTTTGTAAACTCCTAACCTGAGATATTGATCTTTTAGAAAGCCAAGCTATTGAATATCACAACTCACAATTTTATTTCTGGCCTAATAACAAAAGAAAAACAAAACCAACATCATTTCTTAGAAAATATTTTTTCAATTTCAGAAAACTTTTACATAATGAAAAAGTTGATATTTTTAATCAACCGAAGAAAATGGATGCATTAAAAAGAACTTTGTGTTGATACAAAAGAGTGAAGTTGCTTTCAAATTTTTTGTATATATTGTGTTTGGATTTATTGTAAACATGATTATGCCAGCTTCACAAATCAAGGACTCTGAACTATGCTGCCAAATCGATAGCAAGAAATGTTATTTAGAGCTCATAAAGTTTATAATATGCACATGCCAAAACTACACTGCTATAATATAATACAAAAAAGTACCAATGCTATAATGTGAAATTTCTATTACAAGTTCTTTTGCAGTCAGCACAAACATGGACACAAAAAATCTAGATTCATGACAGCAAATCGAAATAAGAGTGGACAATGAA